AAAAGGGATGTCTGTGTTAGGGGATGTTTTCCTGAGTTTCTCTTTTTTAGGAACATCTAATCCGCAATCCAAGTTCCCACTGATGCTGTGTTCTAGGTTTTCAGTCAGTGCCCGGTTCAGCTCTGGTTTGTAGTGATGTACACCCTGTAGGATTGTAACACCTGCTCTCGTGGGATTCACAAACATGAAGAGCACTGCTACACTGTCAGGGATGATGCCATTAAATTGTGTTTTGTGTAGAGCTGATTCACGTTATTGATTTTTGCATTTGATAATGTGATTTAAAACATGCATAAAAAGTTGTGGTTTAGAAGGCACATGCAGGTTTTTCAGCACTGTGCCCCCCACCAGCAGTGCTGCCCTGCAGTGCCTGAGCAGCAGTTTGGCTGAGAGGGAAAAGAGGCACTCCTGACCCCAGTCTGCAAAGATGACCGGTTGGATCGAGACAGTGGAACCAGGCTCCTTCCAAATCACTGGCTGAGCTCACTGGGAGCACTCACAACTGTGGAACCAGGGCCTGGCCTGACTCATCCCCAGGAGCAGCCTGGGGCAGACTCTGCTTGTTCCAGAAGTGCTGACTAACACTGGGGCTTTAATTTCTATGTAAATGAAAGGGAGGAGGATCTTGCCTCAATACTGGCTGTTCCCATCTGTAGGAATAAACTGATGTCACACACCTCAGGCACCAGCAAAGGTTTCCAGGAAGAATGCTCTGAAGTGTTTGGTTGAATTGGAAATGTAATCCTTTAAGAGGTCACATTTGTTCTTGCCTCAAAGAATTCAGAATTGTGGTGAAATACTAAATTACCCAAAGGAGAAACTGAGAATTGGTAAATCTCATGCTTTTTACTGCTGCTAAAAGATGAGCTGTGTCTGGCTGCAGGCAGAGCTGAGTTGGTGTTCTTGGGGACAGGTTTCTGTGTACAGGGGCTTCTGGTTGACTTCTTTGTACTCCTTTCTAAGATGCATCCAGACTCCTGGCTTAGGGACTCTATTGAAGTTTGAACCAAGTCTTGAAGCACAGGACCTGAATTTCAGCTTAGATGGACTCTTATAGTATTGGAGGGATTTTTAACTATATTGGCATTAAAGCAGAAATAAATTTAACTGGCAGTGCTTTTGTCATTTTGCTTGGTACATTTGCTTACTGGTTTATATTGATCTTGTCCTTTTCCAAAACCATGTTCAGCATTCATTTTTCCTGTTTTAGTGAGGTCACAATGTTGAATTTGTGCAAACAGAAAATAATGTCCTTGAGAAGCTGAGATCAAATACAAATGTATGACGTCATTGTGGAACAGAGAAATGGGTTGGCTAGAAGGGAATAAGGACTTGGTTAATCAGGCACAGTAGCACTGCGATTACAGAAAGTGGTCCATAAGGTTTTTTTCTGCGTCAGTTCATTCCTGGAGATGTATTTGCCTGCTTTCTTTTCAAAGGAGGTAAAGCTAAGGTGAATATGTGAAATTTTGTTCAAGTGCTGACGTTAATGAGAAATGTGTCAGTAGAAAGATATTAACAATTTGCCAAAGGGATAAATAAATAGGTAATCCAGAGGGGTAGCTCTGCTGCTGCTAATCTTACTGGTATCCAAAGTTATTTTTCAAAAAGGACAGCATTTCCTCTGTTAGGAGAAGCTTGTCATTTAAATCTGGCCAGATGGACCCAGATTAGGATGATGGCTCCCAAAATGTGTGAGCCAGGAGAATGACGCTGCCGGGGCAGCTGCGCAGGGAACAGCGAGAAAAGGGGTTTAGAGAGGGAGGAGGGTGTGATGGGCCCAATCTCCTTAAAGCTTTCAAGTAGCCCCAATTTTTCATGAGTGAGTTGGTTTTGCCCTTGTTAGAGGGTCAGATGGGAGTCCCTGTGCAGTCCTCTCTTCCCAAGTTTGTCAGTAGAAGCAGTGCTCAGGTGGTGAGAGAGCGAGGGGAGGAGGACTGACTGTCAATAGCAGAGAACTGGCGTTTCTTTTCAGCTTGTGAGAGACCAGATTGTCAGCTTCTTGTGCAGTTATCTTCTAAAGACAGGTGTTTCATCTGTTATGTTATTCATAATTTTGAAATGTCTCTTCACCCTGATTTGTTTTATTAAGCTAATAAAACCTTAGCCCTACTAAAGGCATGGTCAGTAATGAAATTGTCAGGTGGTGTTCCCTTTATCTGCCTGAAGTTCCTGACCTGACCTGGTTTTCTTTTAATTTATTTCTAAATCCCTTGCTCTTGTTTTTGACCACGAACAGCAGAGCTGGAACAGGCACTGTGAGCTGATGGGGAAGGCAGGAGAATAACCAGAAACCAGCCTGGAAATCATGCTCTGGAAAAGTCCAGGTTTGTCTTGCAAGGTGCTGCTCGTTGTGTCCAGCTTGGGTAGGGATTGCTGGTACTCACAGAAACAGTTTGCATCGTCCTGTGCACTTGAGCAGCATGTAATGCTAACTGGCAGAGCTCCCTAATGCAGCTCTTTTCCTGCTTCTTTTAGAGCTTTCATTTTCTCTCTTGTTAATGATTTCCTTGTTGCCATGTCCCAAAGAGCTGTGTTTTAAAGTTTTAAATGCCAAGGTGTCAGTCTTCTGGAATCTGTTCATAATCTTTCTGGTCACAAATGATAAATGGATTGACCAAGTTCCTGGATAGTGTGGTTAGTTCAAGCTGCATTTTATGGATGTTAATAACTAATGGCCAAAAAACACAAGGGAAACAAACCTATTCCCAAAGAAATTATGGCAAGGGAAGTGAAGTTACTCTGGTTTGAAGGAGTACTGCTTACTGAATGATCTTCCTTTAGAAAGGAGGTATGCAAACTGAAGCTATTCTGTTGCACCCTGGGAAGGCAAAAATACGCTTTAATGCAATTAACTCTTCCTGAAATTGATATTTCTATTCTTTAAGTAGTTTAGATTCCAGAATACATAGGTGTATGGAAAAAAAAATCATTAGCTGTAGCTCATTAGCTCTGTTCAAGCAGCTGCAAACCTTTAAAAATTAATAATTTTCATGAGAAATGCTAAGTCTGGGCTGTAAGATGTAGCATGCATTCAGTACAAGATTTCGATTGAAGCTGACAGGGAGCCTGCTGGGTAGGCGTTGAGCAAGGATCTCCAGAATTAATCACCTGTCAATTAAATTTCTTGGGTTTAAACCTACAAATAATTCTGTCTTTGTGAAGTGTCTTTATGATGTAAATATGCTAAGCCTCACCGTAAATTGATTTCCTTTCCCCTTTAATACTGATTCTACAACCAGAAGAAATACTAATATGTCACAGAATTTAATGAGAGCATTGACATAGTTGAAATTACTCTTTTAAGTTTATAAAATACAAAAATTCCAATGGTCTCTTCAAAAGCAAAAGTATAAAGGTGATTAGAAGCACTTCCAGATGCACAATCTAGTGACTCTCGTTAAAAACTGAGATGTGCCCTGAAATATTTGCATCACTTTCCATGAACTAGAGTGGAAATGCAAGAGGAAGTAAAAAAAAAAATCTGTTACATGTGATTCTCCATGGGTTTTGCTTGCAAGAATGAAAAATAGAAGTTGATTTTATGCTCTGTGAAATCGCTGAATCCCAGGGATCAGAGGGATTTCCTGGAGTGGTGCTGGGGCAATGAGGGCAGTGGAAGCGTCACTGCTGGGGCACTGGACTGGAGAGAGGGCTGGGAAAGCTGAAGGTGGAGGCCTGAATGTCCTTTCTAAAGACTAACCATGTGAAAAGAGCAGTCAGAGAATCCTCTGAGGTAAATTGTTTGCTTTGTACCGCTGACTCCCCTCTGTCCCTGCAGCCTGGGGCAGGTGATGCCCACAGCTGCCAGTGGTCGCAGGCAAAGCCAGGCAGCTTTCACTCTTGTCGGTGTCTGCTGCTGACTTTGCAAGGAACCCTGATGTCCCACTCTGTAGTCAGGACTGTCCCATGTTGTGCTTTCCCTTGTGGATGTATTTTCCTGCTTTTAGTTTGGGGAATTCTGGTGACTTGGTTGAAGCTGGTACAGATCTCCAAAGCTCATGTGGTGCCCCAGATCTTGTGCAGATGATCTGCTTCCAGTGCAATGCAGATATTTTTATTTCTGTTTGCAGTCTCACAGTGTGATAGCCCTGCTGATATCTCTGCTAAGGAAAACCAACATTGCTGTGTAAATATTAACCATAGTACACAAAACCCTCAAGGGAACTTGCTGTTGTTTAAAAACGGTGCTGCTGATCTGAAGAGCTCCCCAGTGGCTCTGCTGGGGAATGGCCAAGCTTGTTCAGGATCCTTGGGAGGATCCCCTGCTTTTCCAGCCCTGGAGTAACTACAGGCTGTATCTGATGGGGTAAGAGGAGATTTGATGCAGTCAGTCTTCACTCTTATGTTGTCAATAGCATCAGTCAGGTTACAGAAATACCAAGCCACAGCTGAATATTCACATTTTCCTGATGGAGCCTTTGAATTGGGACTTATGATCTTTCTAAGAAAGAGATCTATGAAAGGTTTAGACTGATCAATCAAAAAAAGTTTTAAATAAAGAATTTAAATATCTTGTGATGCTTTCCCTTTTCTCTGAATTCAGGTATTTACTCTTAAATGAAAGGGTAAAATTGAGCCAAGAATTTGAGGTTTTATTATTATTGTTTTGCATTTTTCTGTTCAACACTAATGACTGTAAATTCAGTGGAAGATTGTCACAGAATTGTGCTGGACTTTCCAGAAAGTGCTGAAGATTATAGAATTCCATGGAAATGATGCCAGTTTCAGGGGTTTCACTTTTCTTTTGTTATGGTTTTCTCTCTGTCCTCATTTATAATTACAGAATTTCATGATGTGTCTGCTTTCCGCTCCTCCCAGGAAGAATATTTTGGAGGCTGGAAGTCTCAGGGCATTATGCCAGCAGGGATACTAAACTAAACCTAATTTACAGGCTCGTAAACAACCTGAATAAAAAGAATTTTCTTTACATGCCTTTTGAAATTATCTGTCCATAACTTAAAGATTTGTGTGTTGGTGACGGAGCATTTCTTGTTCAGTTGTATTTCCAGTGATGAGTCCCAGAGACTGGAAGGCAAGCCTGTGTGTAGCTGACCTTTCCAAGAAGAGGCAGAAAACCATATTTTGTCTTTGGGGGGAAAAGAAGCGATAGTTAAAGTGTCTTTGTGCATCCTGAAGAAATAAGTGAGGTGAATCCCATACTTCACTGTGTTATGTAAATCCCTACCTTAAGGCTTTACATATAGAATTAATTTGAATTTTTTTAAAAAATTATTCCAACTGAAGTGTATATGCAGTTAGGAAATTGTATGTAGATAAACTGATGTATAGATAAAACATTAGCATGACAAACGGACCAAAGTTGCTTCTGGTATGGAGGATTGCCTCGTTTGTCTGGATGAGTCTGGCAGTGTTATATAGTTACAAACTGAAACCAAATAATTGCTGCAAGCGGAATAAAACAGAATCAGCAGTACCAATGTGCTAACATTTTCCTCCTTTCCTTCCCCCTTGACTTTCCAGGAGGGTGTAGAGTTTGGCATAGAACTGTGAATTTATTTGCAGGTGACATCAGATGGTAAAACACACATTAGTGTTTCGAGAGGAAAGTGAACTCCCTCATGTCTTTGCTTGCTTTTGTGTTTTTTTAATTTCAGTGTTTGTGACCAGATGATGACGTTCAGTGTAGCTCCTGACCTACTGATCCTGTCAGATACTTTCAGCCCAGACCTGCAGAGGCCCCTGTATTAATGAACAGCCACTCTTGGGTGAGGACAGGTGACATTCAGCCTGCAAGGGACAGTCTCCTGGCCTTGCTAAAGAGCACTGGAGACTGTGCATGACGCTCTAGGAAATGTCCCACTTTAGCCATCAGCATTCACTGTTTTGCCCTTGGTTTGGTCCAGGAGTGTTGGCTGTGCAAAGCCTGCTGCTCTGCCTTTCCTGGGCCTTGTCACCTCCCAGTTCCCTGCACAGGACGATCCTCCCGCTGAGCCGCAGCAGCAATGGGGGGGTGGCTGTAATTTCAGCTGCATTTACCATGTCTGAGCAGTAAGTGTGGACACTCACTCCTGGAACTGTGGGCCATCTAAGCTGGGTTTTCACACTGTATTTTTCTGATGATTCTGCCCTGCAGAGTGTCAAACAGCTCACAGGAAAGTACAGTGTTAACTATCTTTGGTTGCACTCTCACATTTTTATTTGGCTGGCATTAGTAGCTCTGTGTCAGAGTAGTTCCCTTTCCATTGCTTCTGCTGCTCTTCCTTCCCACCGTCGTGTTGCATTGTGCCACCCTTGAAATTTGTAGGATAAACTGGTTCAGCTCTCGAGAACAGTGAGGGAATAACTCAGCAATACACCAGTGAACAGACTTTGCTGCTCTACCCTTTACTGTGTTGCTGCTTGCCTTGACAAAAGTCAGAGGTATGACACAGAGGAGGAGTCTTGTGTGTAGGAAATGTTGGCTTAGTAGAGCTGGTTTTGAGGGACAGGGTTTGTGGGGAGCCTGGTTGGACATGACCTTCCCCTTCTGGTGTGACTCAGCCGTGGGTTCGGTTCGGCTGAAACACCTCAGCTGGATCTGTTGCTTTTATTTGTGTGCCAGACCTGAGGTGGCAGCCATGGATGCCTAATCATGGTGAAAGCAAGGGGGTTGAGATTTCAAAGGTCTTTTTACAGCGTTGTGTAACTTATTTTATCTTAAATCTCACGTAATTTCACAATGATGTGGGTACTCGATACAGCTGCTCCCCAGGAACCGAGCAACTGCTGCTGAAAGAGCTGCCTGGGTTTCACAGGTGTTAGGGCAGACACTCCTAAAGGGATCAAGACAGTCTCTAAATGCAAGAAAAGAGTGATCTTTTCAGGCTTAATTTCTCCGAAGCAAAGAACACCTCAAAAACTGATCTAATGTTTGGGTCAAAGGACTCGTTGTATTTTGAAAAGCATAAAGCAAAGACTAGATATCTATGTGAGCGTTACAGATTTCAGAGGAAATAATATTTTGTTTTCTTAGCTGCTAAATTATACAAGGCAAATGAAATCCCTCTTAAAATGAGAGATGAACTTGAGGAATTTTTGTCTAATTATATTTTTAGTGAGATGTGCCTCTTTCAGAAAATAATAGATATTTTTGAAAGTGTTTTTAGATTGCATCCACAATGTTACTGTTCTCAAAACATCTAATTGTTTCTCAACAGATATAAAAAACACCTAAAAAATAAAAATGGGTGAACTGGACCATGGAACATCGTTTTCAACTCCTAGGATGAGTGATGGAGGTATGTATGTTCCAGTTTGTCTTATCAACTGCTTATAAAATACTCTGTGCAACCAATAGCTGCATATAGAAGGTACTAGAGCTCTCCAGTCATGGTTTGGGTTGGGAGGGACCCTAAAGCTCATCCAGTGCCACCCCTGCCATGGGCAGGGACACCTTCCACCAGCCCAGGGTGCTCCAAGCCCCGTCCAACCTGGCCTTGGACACTTCCAGGGATCCAGGGGCAGCCACAGCTTCTCTGCCCAACCTGTGCCAGGGCCTGCCCACCCTCCAGGGAAGAATTTGTTTGTCACTGGATCTGGCCTCTTTTCAGGTTAGAGCTGTTGCCCCTCGTGCTATCATTTACAGGCCCTGGTAAAGAGCTCTTCTCTGTTTTCCTTGTAAGCCCCCTTTACATAGTGAGAGGCTGCAATAAAGCCTTCCTGGAGCCTTCTCCACTGAGCATCCCCACCTCCCACAGCCTGTCTCCACCTGAGACATGTTCCAGCTTTTCAGAGCGTTTGGGTCTGAAATTTTAGCTCTTTGAATGTGGAATGACTTTCCATGAGTTCTGGTGGACAGTGTTGCAAGCAACCTTAGCAAGAAGGAAATCTTCACATAGAAAAACCCACAAAGGGGGCTTAAAAAAGCTGCCTAAAGGCCTAAAAACTGGGAGAAAGGAGATTATTCATGCTAAGATCACAGGGTAAAAAGGAAGAATTTAGTGGATCAAACTACTGAATGCTTTTTGTTTAAGGTATATAGAGAAAAAAGAAATGGTCTTAATACAAGATCAGAGCTATAACCTGCTTAGCATAACACTGCCCTGGTGGAATAATTGGTGTGAGGACAAGGTCAGTGGTGAGAAAATGAGGAGTGGTGAGTAGGAGGGAAGGAGGGAGCCTTCCCATGATGAGGAGGAGGATGATGATGATGATGATGAGGGGAAGAAGCCACAGTCCTGTTCTGAATGGCAGCCTGGCACAGTCCCATGAGCCAGGAAATCCATCCAGGAATACTGGGCAGCTCTGTCTGGGGTTACCTCAGAGGTTCTCTCTGGTCTGTCGACAAATCCCATTCAGGCAGGATTTGCAGTCCTGATTCTCTGGGTTTGTTCTGATGTAACTGTTGGTCTGCATGGCTGGAGGTGCACTGGGAAATGGAACTGCAACTCATTCCCATTGCATGGGTTTGGTAGTTTTTATGCCTCTTAGAAGAAAATCACTCCTGTTTAATCCATAGGTTACAGTAAACACTGAGGAGGTTTTCTGCTTGGTGCAAGAAGAGTGTATATATTGAAATTTAGGTATTTCTGTATTAGAAGTTACTAAATTTCCAGTAAATGCAGTTTAAAGTGAATTCATAATGAAATTCACATGTAAACAATGATTTTAAAACTGTTTGTAAACAGACAACCGATTAATGTTTCTTATATAATTCTCATTGTCCAACTAACAGTCTCTGTTATGGAAAATTCCAGTGTTTAAAATGTACTGGTTCTACTTTCTATCTATAATACCTTCATTTTATGACTCACACTTAAATTATTTATCCAGAATTTGAAATGACCTTGTGTGTTTTATGTGACTATCCTAGAAAATCCAGTGATTCCTGCAAGAAATGCTCTTTGCAGCCAGAAGTACAAACCTGTTGACTACAAACATCTGTATGAACTTGCTGCAGAGGCAAAAATGGCCTCTGAAAAAACTCAGTTAAAGGTGGGATTTATGTATGACTGGTAATGTGAATGCTTTTGAAAGCCAGTGATCATATTTCTTCTCCCAGCCACAAGGAATCTGAGAATGAATAGGGATAACAAATTGGTGCAGCCAAAGGGGGGCAAATATGAGAGTTTATCCCAGTGTTACTGTGAGTTGGATGTGTTAATGTCAATGTGTGGAATTTCTCTGAATCAGAGATGCAAAATATGTGTGGATTCTGCTTCCTCAAAAGACAGGAAGAGTTTGTATTTGAGTGCTTTGTGGAAACTCATCCAAACTTAGTACATAAAATCGGAGGCAGTGAAGAATTTACAGGAACAAATGGGGAGGTTGACCCAGACAACAAGCTAAACAAAAAGATATGAAGCAAGGATTTCAAAAAGTTAAGCTGAGGCAGATCCTTAAAAAAAAAAAATCAAAAGCATTTAATAGCCATAAAACGTAAACATAGAGCTCAACAGAGAGGTGTAAATAGGTGCAGTAGTGCTCGTGTGGTAAAGACCACAGGAATCTGTTTAATAGTAGAGAAGGGTGACAGTGAATGGGAGAAAAAAATGCATATTTATACACTTCCTTCAGTACAGGAGCATTGTTTCCTGTAATGCATGGAGGGATCATATACCAAAAGTTCTGGTAGATATTTCTTCACAGATTGGCAGCACAAAATTTTACTGAATTCATCCAAACTTTATTTTTTCGTCTTTCTTTTGGGTTTTCACCTTTTCCAGTGTTTTCCAACTGACTAGGTATTAAAATATATATATTCTGAAAGCTCCACAGAGAATAGTATGTGTTCCCAGCTACTACTTTTTGTTGCTGATTCAAGCTAGCTACGTTTAGAAGAGCTGGGTTGCTCCTCCTTTGGGGCAGAACCAAAGAAACAAATGGTAAATCCATTGGTAACTGTTAAAGAAAAAAAAAGACAACATACACAGGGGAAAAAAGGGGAATATTGCAAGAGTTACACATAAATACATAAATGGCATTACTGTTGCTATAAAATAATTTCAGGAGCATATGTAAGGATGGAGTTCTGTTTCACCTTAGTTTTAGAACAATTTGAAGATGTATGTATTTTCAGATTGCTTTAAATAAAGTATTCTGTTTGCTGAGGTCTAGTTTTAGGCACCTAATGGTAACCAAGAGGGAGTTGTAAGTAACTTTTTAAAGATGAAAATATGAAAGCAATAAAAATAAGGAGCCATTCTCCTTGATTTAACAGCATTGTAACACGCTGGTTGAGAGCGTGGCACAGGTGTGTTCCAGCTCTCTTCCAGCACAGCCACACGTGCAGGTTGCTCTGAACACCTTGTTTGTCAGCCACAGTCACACAGTGTCTGTGTGTGTGTCCTCAGTGCTCTCTGCCTGGGAGCACAGGGGGCTCCTGGGTGGGTTTGTGCAGCTTACCCTGGCCAGGACAGTTGCAGGGGAAAACTCAGAATTTTTGACTCAGAAGATCATTCCTTTGCTGAACGAGATGTGGAGTGAGATCTTTATTCCCTGTTCCCTGTTATGAACTAGGACAAGGCTTTCCCAGGGTTTTTTCTTGTCTTGCTGCCATTCTGCCATAGAATAATGTATCTGCAGGAAGGAGGTTCTGGGGAGGGGAGAAAGGGCCTGTGTGTGAGTTGTGGGAGCTGTGGAGTCAGAAGTTGGCTGGGCCAGGGGTGGACAGGTGTTCTGGAGGAGGGGCACGGCAAGGCAGCACAAAGGGAGGGAGCAGGAGAGGAGCTTTGTCCTCTGTATGCACTGAGAGGCAGAGACAGTCACGGTGGCAGGAGGGGGAGAGGAAATGTCTCAGGGATATCTGGCAGCCACAGGCTTTGATCCCTTTTCCTTCATTGTTGGCTGGCCAGAGTTGTGTGGCTGCCACTTCAGCAGCCTCCCCCTGGCACCTTTTCCTCTGGCTTAAGCAGTAACTCCATCTGCCTCAAAAGCAGGTGTTCCTGTTTTATCTGGAGTGTGAAAAAATGTTTTTTGTGAAGCCCTCAAACAGTTTCAGAGCCTCTTTAATTGGATAGATTTTGTAAAAATACTTTTTTAGTCATACATTTTTGAAATTCTTTTTCTTGAAGGACAGACTTTCACTCTTTCATCTTCCCACCTGTAAGAATTTTTCTTTCTTCTACTCATCTTCCCCCTGCTTCACCCCTTAAAATAGGGATGGAAAAGGAAAGAAGAAAATGGACTGCATTTTTTTCATTTTCTCCTCTTATTTAACTGTGACTTGACATGGAATAAACTTTCTTTTCCCCATGAAAATTGGTTACACTTGAACACATTTTTCTTCAGAAAAAAGATTTTAGAAAAAAAAGTTCTGAAAAAAAGCTATTAGGTTCATCATTCTGTCATTAAAATTTTCAATGTGAGGGCATTTGATAAAGCTATTGAACAGATTCAAAATACAAGCTTTAATTTTCTCTGCAGATTAAAAAAACAGAGCAAGTTTCAAAAATTAACAAAGAGCAAATGCTGCTGAAACAGCACCGGCAGGTGTGGTGGCAAGAGCACAAGAGGCTGAGCCAGAGCAGGTAAGAGCTGAGGAGCCTGAAGGAGTCCTTGCTGAAGGAAGACACCAGCAGACAGAGTTTCTGTATGGAAAGGTTTCAGTTTTGATTCCCTTGGAGTCTGTGTCTGGGTGTGTGTGATGAGCTCATGCTTAGAACAGGGACACTGGCACTGCTCCTGTCTA